AAAGTACCCGAGGTCCCGTCGTCAGAGCAAGAGCAGGGTATTCTGCCACGTCTGATCGCAACCTTGGTCGGTCGTCGGCGTGAGGTGAAGAAGTTGATGAAAGACAAGCGCGCGACGCCTGAGCAGCTAGCTCTCTGGGACACGAAACAATTGGCCTTTAAGCTGACGGCCAACTCTATGTACGGGTGCTTGGGTTACACGCAGAGTCGCTTTTATGCTCGTCCCTTGGCCATGCTTACTACATTCAAGGGGCGTGAGATTCTCAGAAGTACCAAGGAGCTGGCGGAGTCGAAACAACTCCGTGTTATCTATGGTGATACTGACTCCGTCATGATCAACACGAACATGGACACTATCAGTGATGCGATCAAGGTCGGTGAGGAATTCAAGAAGTCCGTGAATGAGCGATACCGGCTATTGGAGATCGATATCGATAACATCTTCCGGCGTCTCCTCTTGCATGCCAAGAAGAAGTACGCTGCCGTCAACATCACAGAAGTCGATGGCAAGTACGTTGACAAACTGGAAGTCAAGGGTCTCGATATGAAGAGACGTGAGTACTGCTCGCTGTCAAAGGAAGTTTCTCAGAAACTGTTGAATGAGGTTCTCTCTGGCGAGGACCAAGAGCTTGTTCTTAACCGTATCCACGACTACCTGCGCGAACTTGCAGGCAAGATGCGAGAGTTCACTGTCCCTGTGCAGAAATACGTGATTTATACGGTATGGATTATTGGTTTGGGAACAGTAAAGACCAAAGAATGCTAATATTTCTCCTAGAAACTCTCCAAGCGACCCGAGGAATACCCCAACAAGGAGACAATGCCTCCAGTACAGGTCGCCCTGCGCGAGCTAGCTCGGGGAAAGACAGTTCGTCCCAATGACGTTATCTCCTACATCGTGACCAGTGGGGATTCGGAAACTGCATCCCTCCCGCCGGCCAAACGTTCGTATACACTGCAGGACGTGATGAAGCCCGACTCGGAACTCAAGCCCGACATCGAGTTCTATTTGCTCAAGCAGATCTTCCCGCCTATTGAGCGTCTATGTGCTCCTATCCCCGGTACTGATGCTGTTCGGTTGGCGGAGTGTTTGGGCCTGGATGTGCGCAAATATCAGATCAACACTTCTAGTGGAAGCAACCAGCAGAACGCTGACATCTTCCCGCTGGAATCGCAAATTCCCGATTCGGTCCGTTTCGAAAGTGCAGCTCGACTCACCCTCACCTGTCGGTCATGCAAGGAGAAATCGGTGTTCGAAGGGTTGCTAGGGTCCGTTCATATGTGCACAGCGAATGGCGTTATTTGCCCCAACCAAGGCTGTCAGAAACCTTTCTCGGTTTTGACCATTGTTGCGCAGCTGGAAACCCAGATCCGGGCCCAGACTTCCAAATACTACGAGGGCTGGCTTGTCTGCGACGATACGGCCTGCGGTAACCGGACGCGTCAGATCAGTGTGTACGGGCACCGCTGCCTGGGTCCCAAAGGCCACGCTGAAGGTTGTCTTGGTCGCATGACCTACGAGTACACGGAAAAGCAGATGTACAACCAGCTGCTCTACTTTGCCGGACTTTGGGATGTCGACAAGGCTCGAACCGCGGCTGAGAAGGATGGGAATGCGGAGAAGAAGGACAGTGTGGCAGCTTTGGTTGAGTTCAACCGTACCCGGTTTGGAACCGTCAAGGGGGTCGTGGACGCATATCTAAAGAAATGCGGACGACAATGGGTCGAGATGGATAGTCTGTTCCGCTTCATGCTGCCATGATTGGTTTCTAATAGATCTATTTACGTTTGTACATATCGACAACTTTTCTGTTTTATTATGTGGATAGCGGGTATTACCAGATTTGGAACGACGGCATGGTGAGGTGAATAGGCATGGATTCAATTTTGCATCTATGGATTTTTTGTTGTAGGATATCATATAATAAATAATACTCCGTAATAAAGACATAGTCAAGAGGTCGAAACTGTTTTTCTTTCCTTTTTTTTTTTTTTATCTTATCACCAAAAGCCGGGCCCCGCACTCCGGTCCCCGATCAGTGACTCCCGCCATCCATTGCCGGGTTGACTCGCTCGGTGTGTAAACATCTGCATCTCCACCAGTTTTCTCAATCATTCAGGGAAACTTGATCCCAATCTGGGCTATTCGACAGTTATCATGTCGGTTAAGAAAGTTCTGGTCATTGCGGGGTCGGACAGCTCGGGTGGCGCGTACGTCAAATTGTGCACGGTTCTTATCCAAAGGCCTGGTCAACTAATGCAATCAATTCCTTTGACATCAGGGGTCTAGAAGCGGACCAGAGAGTTCTGGCTGCTCACGGTGTCTATGCACTGACCGCAACCACCGGTCTCACAGCGCAAAACACTCTGGGAGTGCAAGACATCTTCGTCATTCCGCCTGAATTTGTCAAGAAACAGATTAATGCTGGCCTTGAAGATGTCGGTGCGGATGTAGTCAAACTGGGTTCGTGGTTCCTCACCTCCTCGCCATTGGCTTTTCTGGCTTGACTTCATCAGAAACCTTGCTGGTGGTATCATGTGCGTGCATACGCTGACTGGCGAAAGGAATGCTCTCCTCCGCGGAGACAATCAACGTTATTGCCGAGGCTCTGGTCACGTATCAGATTCCTGCGTTGGTGCTGGATCCGGTAGCTATGTCCATTTCCCCAGTATGCAACATATGTTCACCGGTCTGATACTGGGACTACAGGTCATGGTGTCAACAAGTGGATCGCAACTGCTCCCGGGAGCCGCCGTACAAGTCCTGCGGTCGAAATTGCTACCTCTGACCACCATCCTCACTCCGAACATCCCAGAAGCTCTGCTACTTCTCAAGGACTCCGGAGTTGATGTTTCCGAGCCTACTGACCTCCCTGGAATGGTACAGCTGGCCAAGCAGGTCTGTTCCTTGGGCTCAAAGGGAGTCTTGCTCAAGGGTGGCCATCTGCCCCTCACGAAAGATCATAAGACCGCGCAAAATCAGGAGGATGAGTGCATCGTCGTTGATGTACTGTATGATGGCGAGGAAGTCACCTTATTCGAGACGGACTTCCTCATCTCCAAGAACACGCATGGCACGGGCTGTTCGCTGGCCTCGGCCATTGCGGCCAATCTCGCCCTCGGTAAGGGTATGAAGCGCGCCGTCCAGAGCGCTGTTCGGTTCGTTGAGGCCGGTATCAAGACCAGCTTTGATATCGGCAAGGGAAGTGGGCCGATCAACCACTTCCATTCGTTGTATAGCCTGCCGTTTGCACCGTGAGTCACTTGGCCATTAACCCTTCTGAGAGATGGAGTTGAGCATGTGGTGATGACGAGTCATCTAGCGGTCGGTTTATAGAGTATGCGCTGGATCGCCCTGACGTTCAGGAAGCTTGGAAGAAGTTCACAGAGCATGAGTTCGTCCGGCAGTTGGGCGATGGTACACTCCCGTTGGAGAGATTCAAGTCATACCTCGTCCAGGATTATCTTTACTTGGTATGACATGTCGAGTTTTGCTCACTTGACGAGATCCATTGCTGACGAATTGAACCAGATTCAATTTGCACGGAGCAACGCTTTGGCTGCATACAAGGCGGGGAGCATGGAGTCGATTGCCGCGGTATGTTTTTAAGCACAAGCGCGCTCCGGTCCTACTTGGGTGGAGGGTGGAGGAGGTGTCACCCGGTGGTCGACAAGCCAAGATACTGACCATTTCACGCGAACAGTCTGCGCAAATTGTCCTACATATCCAACGCGAAACAGCGTTACACCTAGATTATTGTGCCTCCTTCGGACTGACCAAAGAGGAAATGGAAAAGACTCCGGAAACCATTGGTGCGTGACCCATTCTCATTCCGTCGCCGACGACCATTATCATACGTGGCTTGGCACAGAATCGCTGACGGGGACACTGTTGTTATGTACGAGCAGCGTGCACTGCGTATAGTCGGTACATTCTCGACATTGGCCAGTCGGGAGATTGGCTCGCCCTACAGATGGCCCTTGCGCCTTGCTTGATCGGCTACGGAGCTATCGCACGACGACTCTACACGGACCAAGATTCGGTGCGGGAGGGTAACCGGTACTGGAAGTGGGTTGAGAACTACGTCGCCGACGACTACACCGAGGCAGTGCGTCTGGGGTCCGGTAAGCAAGCACGACCTTGGGGATTGCCCTTCCCTGCAGGCGGCGAAAGATGGGGGCGATGGGGACCCGCTAACATGACGAATTCTAGAATTGCTTGAAAAGCATATGCGCGAGGTCTCGCCCAGTCGGATGGAGGAATTGATTAAGATTTTCGTGCGGGCGACGGAGTTGGAGATCAGATTCTGGGACATGGGTCTGGGTGGTGGCGAATCTTGTTAGCTGGTGGGACTATTCACTCTTTCTGTTTCGATATGACGGACTATTGTGAATATTGCTTTGGAAATGGAGAGATTCAATATTGTGTATGATCAAGTACATAGATGAGAATTGAACTACTACGCACAGAAATCGGGTCGGGTGATCAAGTTCCGAGATACTATTTATGAGGATGTTCATTGCGTACAGATAAAAGTGTACAAGGAGATACAAACAAAGAGGCTGTTTCACCCATTGAAAATGAATGGACTTAAAAGTCACTAAAAGTACCCAGCCTCAATGGACCAATTAGTCAGAGTACCAGAAAAAGAAAAAGGCGGTGTTTGCCTCTACGCTATCCCCGATCAGGCGGTGTTTTGCCTCCAGTCTTACTCTTTTTTTTCTTCCATTCAAAGATCCCGCCTTTTCTCCCCCCCCCCGTCGCCTTCCTTTTCTTCTTTTTCTTCCTCCTCCTTCCCTCCTCTCATCCTCACTCTTCTTTCCTCCCATCCTATAACACATCTTTTTTACATCTCTCTTTTCCTCCCATCTGTCTCTTACTCCTTATCACCTTCTTTTGTCATATCCTCTCGTCTCCTAGAGGGTGTGTCGCTTCGTCTGATCTTATCTTCAGTCGTTTCTCTCATTCCCACCGTTTTCTTGTTCGGCTTTTTGCCTTCCAATCTTAAAAAAATCCCCAACTTCACACAACAAAAACCTCAACATGTCTTCCTACAACGGCAGCGGCGGCGGTGGCGGCGGCTATCAGCGTGATTCTTACCGGTATGTCATGATTAGGATTCTTTGTGTTATTCCCTTTTAGGTCAGCAATGGTTAACATCTCAGCAGCTCCCGCGGCGGTGGTGGTGGCTACGGTAACGGCGGCGGCTACAGTGGTGGTGGTGGCGGCTACGGAGGTGGTGGTGGTGGTGGCGGCTATGGCGGCGGTGGCTATGGCGGTGGTGGTTACGGTGGTGGCCGTGGAGGCGCTGCTGGTGGTGACAGAATGTCCAACCTCGGCGCCGGCTTGAAGAAGCAAGAATGGGGTAAGTTTGCGGGTTGCACTTCCATTCCATTGCAGTCACTAACATGAATTTACTAGACATGGATTCTCTTCCCAAGTTCGAGAAGTCCTTCTACAAGGAGCACCCCGATGTTGCTGCTCGCTCCCAGCGCGAAGTCGACGAGTTCCGCAAGAGCAAGGAGATGGCTGTCCAGGGCAAGAACGTCCCTCGCCCCGTCGAGACCTTCGACGAGGCTGGTTTCCCTCAGTACGTCCTAAGCGAGGTCAAGGCCCAGGGCTTCGACCGCCCCACCGCCATTCAGTCTCAGGGTTGGCCTATGGCCCTCTCTGGTCGTGATGTCGTCGGTATTGCTGAGACTGGTTCCGGAAAGACCTTGACTTACTGTCTGCCCGCTATCGTCCACATCAACGCCCAGCCTCTGCTCGCCCCTGGCGATGGACCCATTGTCCTCATCCTTGCTCCCACCCGTGAGTTGGCGGTTCAGATTCAGGCCGAAATCTCCAAGTTCGGCAAGTCCTCCCGTATTCGCAACACCTGTGTCTACGGTGGTGTGCCCAAGGGCCCTCAGATTCGCGACCTTAGCCGCGGTGTCGAGGTCTGCATTGCCACTCCCGGTCGTCTGATTGACATGCTCGAGGCTGGCCGCACCAACCTTCGTCGTGTCACTTATCTCGTTCTGGACGAGGCGGATCGCATGCTGGACATGGGTTTCGAGCCCCAGATCCGCAAGATTATCTCCCAGATCCGCCCCGACCGTCAGACTTGCATGTGGTCCGCCACTTGGCCCAAGGAGGTCCGTCAGCTTGCGTCTGACTTCCTCAACGACTACATCCAGGTCAACATCGGTTCCATGGATCTCTCTGCCAACCACCGCATCACTCAGATCGTCGAGGTTGTCTCTGAGTTCGAGAAGCGTGACCGCATGATCAAGCACCTCGAGAAGATCATGGAGAACCGCGGCAACAAGTGTTTGATCTTCACTGGTACCAAGCGTATCGCTGACGAGATCACCCGCTTCCTCCGCCAGGACGGATGGCCCGCCCTTTGTAAGTTTACCTTGGCATCTTTCCCTACCAAAACATCAGCTAACATGTGTATTTCAGCCATCCACGGTGACAAGCAACAGCAAGAAAGAGATTGGGTTTTGAACGAATTCAAGACGGGCAAGAGCCCAATCATGGTGGCTACCGACGTGGCTTCCCGTGGTATTGGTATGATGATATTGCAAACTCCCCCCCTCCCCCTCCCCCACCCTTCCTTTGTCGCCTACAAGGCACCACCCGATTGAGGTTGTGTGACAATGGCACGGTGCTCGGCTCTCTTCCACCCTAAGTTGGTGTTTAAATGACTCGTCCAGGCTATGTCGGGTCTCTTGAAATGGTTCTCAAGCCAGGAGAACCTTGGACTCACAGTGCAGTGTAGCAGATGTTACTAGTATCTCTGTTCTGATTCACCCGTCTACAACTTGTGATCTCGGTTGGTAGAGAGTTGGGGTTCTTTCTCTACCGACCTATTGAACGCTGCATTCCAAGGTTGCTCTAGGACCGCGATTTTGCCACCCCTTGGACTCGTCCACAACGGATCTTCGATGAATGTCCCAAGAAGAGAGAGTGATGCATCAAGTCTCACACGACTGAGAATGGGCACCTCCTCGGCCACGTTGCTCGCTTGACTAATGCTCTGTTTGCTAACGTTACATGTTTTCTCAAAGATGTTCGCGACATTACCCATGTGCTGAACTATGACTACCCCAACAACTCCGAGGACTACGTTCACCGCATTGGTCGTACTGGTCGTGCCGGAAACAAGGGAACCGCTGTCACTTTCTTTACCACTGAAAGTAAGTTTACCGTCCGTCTCTCTTTGAATGTACTTGCGCTGACTCATTCCTTGCAGACTCTAAGCAGGCTCGTGACTTGGTCACCATCCTTACTGAGGCTAAGCAGCAGATCGATCCCCGTCTTGCTGAGATGGTTCGCTACAGCGGCGGCGGCGGTCACCACGGTGGCCACGGTCGCTGGGGTGGCCGTGGCCGTGGCCGTGGTGGTGGTAACAACTACACCGCGTCCAACGCCGCTCCCATCGGCGGCAACCGTCGTTGGTAAACCGTTCCCGACGCCCAGTTCAGTCACTGAGCTTGTATCTTTTCACACTGGTAGACCTGCTTTCCCTCTCGTCCTTGCCTGCGCATGATTATCCGGCTTTTTTTCCTTTCGTAATTCGGTACGGGCGGCGTTCGTCGATATCACGATAGACTCTTTACGTTGCGTGTTTTAACCATATAGGAGACGCCTTGGTTCCTTGGGATCAGGGGTCATCGGTCACACCCCGGATTGTGGGTATGCGTTAATCTCTGTTTTATGTGTTCTATCACAAAAGTTCTGTATTTCCGGCTTGACATGCAACAGCTGGTTCTTAGATAGTGTGTAGCTTTTTCCTTTGCATACTGATAGTTGGGAAAATTGTACCTATCTGAAATTAATACCGAAACGGCACTATTTGTGTCAGGATAAATCCACATTTTATAGGTTTCATCTCCATTGGGATCGTGATAAGATCCAGCGGCAGCCAATGCAGCTTCTGCGCCAGCCGGCGGCATGACTGGGTCACCGGCATTAGTGCCTGCAAGGGAATACGAGACGTTATAGATAGCGGCGAAAGCTGCAGCAGCTGCAAACAAACACCAAGCATGTGCATGCATGATACTTACTATAAGTATTATGTGTCTCCGTACTGTACTAGGTATAAGACAGCCTGTAACACCTGATACACGTGACTGAAGCCCCTTGATCGTCTCTCTAATACCGTAGACCTCTTAGACTTCCCTGTTCTCGAGCTTGAGCAATTTCTCCTCGTTTGTACACTATCCTTAGGTTAGAGGATCGATCTAAGTTTGTCCTATAACAGGCTAGTGGCTGGAATGAAACCGACTTGGATGTATTGGCGGCGAAGCCGACTTTCGAAGTGTCTTGTACGGAGTACACTAGTCTTAACCCACCAAATCCTACGCATTCTTTCAATTTTTCATCCACCCTGCACATCATCCGCCAACCTGAACCTGTCACTGCATCCCTCCCGATCCCGTGCATCGCCACCCATCGATCTGCCGCCTTGGTCTCCGTCCGTAACCCTCGCACCGCTTCCTATCTGGGAATGATCTGAGACTCAGCATTAGCCAATGCAAACTGAAAAGAATGAAGACAAGAAGGCAGGGCAGATCAGAAATCAGTCCTCCGGACTTCCATCGACAGCCGGCATAAAACGCACGCACCATATACTGTTGTCCATAGATCGCGCATCGATCGATCCGAGCCCCCCTCTAGCCACCCACACAGTCCACGCAGGTCGGGTCGTTGACGTCGTAGGTGGTCACCTTCCCGTCGTAGGTCCCAATCTCCACGCATCCACTGGCCGTATCCGGCACGCCCAGACTCCAGGCATTGTGGCAGGCGCCCGGGTCGCCATTGCAGCCGACAAAGCTCGGCAGCTCGTCGTCCCCGCAGCTTTCGTAGTAAATCGACCCGACCCACGTGTTCCAGGTACATTCTTCGTTCGCGGCGAAGTCGGGGACGCACGAGGCGGTCGAGGTGCCCTGGCAGTTGGACTCGGAGTAGAAGTGCACGTTGCACGCCGCGTTGGCGGCGAGTGGGAGGAGGGCGAGCGCGGCGGCGAGGCCGCTGAGGAGCTGCGTGCCGTGCATGGTTTGACTTTGCTTGCAAAGCTCGACTGGTTTCTATTTGGGGGGGGGGGAAATTCCCCTGGGTTTGGAATTGTTGCTTGTTTGCTTGCTGGACTGGTGTGAAGTGAGGGATGGGTGAGAGAGGAGGCAGTCGAAGGGGCTCTATTTATGCCTTTTCTCGCCGTGTAGAAGAGGTACAGGCGACTATCACACGTGGGCTTTGAGCGTCTTGTCACTGGTTCGAGATGCGATGCATTTTTGTCGATAGTAGGGGTTTCGGAGATTGGGATGCAATTGCTCCTCCTTGCTAAGTGAACGGTTTAAGGCTATACTCGCCCAGGAAGCGGGTATGCATCCATACGCCTCAAGCTGAGGGAAAAGTCCCAGGGTCTTCCGGCTGAGCAGAAGAAGCCGATAGTGTTTGTTCTCTCTGGGAATATTCTGCTGTGCTCATTGGCTTGGTATGCTTGCTCCCCCTCGTTAGTAAAGGTTTCATTCGATCACACGTGGGCTTCGAGCAGTCTTGTCACTGGTTCGATGTACGATTTCGAGCGATGGCCGTCGGGGTATCGAAGGATGCAGTGAGATGCAGGTTCTCTAGATCTGCTGAGAGAGCTAGCTATTTTGGCAGTACTAGCTCCGGAGATGAATATTGCATGCCTACACACCGCAAGCTGAACAGGTTCGGGGTCCTCCAGCTAGGTGAGTACTCAGGTAGGTAGGTGGAGTCAGTACTGGTATATCAAAGGCTCGGTGCTCCACTTCAATCTAATTCTACCTACCTACCCACGGAATTTCCGGAGTCCGGACCTACTACCTTCTCGAGCGGTAGCAGTGCATGGGTTGGAATCCATGCAGGGTGCAGCAAGCGTTTCCAGACGCAACCCGAGATCATCTCTTCTGAGACTTTGCAAGTTCGTCCGCTGAGGGCATGGAAGGGACATAGGTTCTTTCGATGAAGGGGGGGGGGGGCTAGGAACAGGTGATATCGAGGCTCAAGCACGAGACTGATCTGCCTAGACTAAACGGCGAGGCAATCGCATTGGCTGCTTCGGCGCTGAAGCACTAGACAGCTTACTAGCTAAGCACTAGACTAGCGCCTTTAGCGCAGCACTTACAACATCCCGATTGGTGGTTAACACGTCTGGCGCTCCCCGCTTCGACGCTTCAGCGCCTCCGTGCCCAAAGTGAAAAGACCCTTTCAGTTTCCCAGGATTCAACCTGAACCCAAGTGACAGATACTGTGTAGGATCGCGTTAGCGCACTTCAGCGTTCGGCTGGCTGGCTTTTCGCAGCGACATGCAATTCCGAGTGCTTCCTCGCACCACGGCTCCCAAGCGCACGTTTCTCCCTTCGGTGTGGATACATCCCAGAGGCACTGGCGTCCAGCGACGCATATTGTGCTACAAGAGTTTGGTGAGTACTCTAAGATAAGGTAGTCAGTCATACATCCTTCAAGGTTCCTAGTTGGGGAGCAGCCGCTGTCCATAAAGCAAATCTTCATTAGTTCTGTGATTCGGAAGATTGGAATAGTCTTTTGGAATTAGAATCAAGATTCCGGCATCGGATGCGAATCGACCACCCCTTACCATATACGTGGCGATCTTGGTGGAGGTCAGGGATGAATGATATGGAACGATTCCTTGATTTCTTGGTGGTCATCTGTGAGTTGTGAAATGACTTTTGAACATGTGAACTTGCTGGATGATTCGCATCGGGTCACGTGGCCGGATTCGCTCAGGAATGCCTAAATAGTGGCTAACAGGGGTCAGTGATGATCTATGCTACCAGGGAACACACAGGCTTTGTGCGGAGCACAAGCAGAAATAGGGATCATATAGATGGATCCATGCGGAGTTCTGCATCAATAAAAAAATGAAAGATGATCTCTGAGACCAGTGCATAACTCCGATAGGGGGAATCGAACCCCCGGCTGCCGTGTGAGAGACGGCGATGTTAGCCACTACACCATATCGGATGCTGTATGAAAAGAATCTGAAAGAAAAACCATTATGAGCCAGGAAAACCCGCGGCAGGGAGGCAAAAGATCAGCCAATCGAGCAAAAGAAATTGAGCTCCGATAGGGGGAATCGAACCCCCGGCTGCCGTGTGAGAGACGGCGATGTTAGCCACTACACCATATCGGATGTTGTCGATGGAAGGTCTCTAGTATACTTCTATGACTCATTGCATTGTGTCCGAGACATTAGAGGCATAGCCGCGATGGTAGTGGTCATTGTGAGGTCAGGAGGGAATCTAAGGTTGGTGCTTATCTTGCGGTGTTCGGGACAATTGTTTATCTGGCGGTGACGTCGGGCTTTGTGGTGCGTGGTGCTGGTGCTGGACTGGTGGTTTGTTGGTGGGTTTAGGGTGGGCTTGTCTTGTCTTGGTGCTGTGGGTTTTCTGTGGTATTAACATGGTTGATGGGGTGGTGGGCTTTGTAGGCGGTGGTTGCTGGTTGTGTATCTGCTTGGGGGGCTTGTGGTTTGTTGATCGTTTGTCTCTTATTCATATGGTGTCTGGGTGCCGGGCTTCCGTATATTTATATAGTTATATGGATCCGCACCGGCGAGGAGGATGTACCATCGACCACCTTACGAAATTCGGTAAGCAGGTTTGTATATCCAACATACAGGAGGAAGGCATACCCAAGTGGTAGCATGCTCGACTTCTTGAGTGGCTGACACATCCGAGGACTAATAAGCAGGCGCCAGTGGTATGTATATACACAACTTAACTACATATAGGTCCGAGATTGATATGATGGACCATGCTACGGAGTCCTACCCGCGTCAGTCTTTAATAAAGCACGAAAAGCATAGTTTCAAGCCGAAGTGTTTCCACTAGATCATCTATGAGTTCGACCACCACTCCCCAATCAACGACAGACCACCTTCACTTCGACCACTCCCTCAGCTCCCCCTCCAACACATCCGCAAGGATCCGATGCACATGGCTCGTCAGATGCCCCGAGTTGAACCAGAAGTACTCATCCAGCGGTGTCGGACACCCGTACGCCCGGTAGTTCCACGCGATATCGGGCTGGTCGTACCCGGGGCAGAAGTTGGTAGTGTTGACGATGCCGTACACCGCGGGGTGGTCCATGATCTCGCTGAGCGTCCGGTGCGCGTCGAACAGGTGCACGGCCGTGTCCGCGTGGTTGCGGTGGAAGGCGGCGGCGTGCCGGGCCAGCGCGTCGTTGTACCAGGCGACCTGCGTGGCGTTCGGATAGGGCCGGCTCAGGGCCTGGTTGCCCGGGGTGCGGTCGAGGGGCGGGAGATTGACGAACAGGTAGGAGCGGTAGCCCTGGGCGTAGATCTCCTGGACGGAGGTGAAGAGGGTGGTGATGAGGGTGTCGTAGAAGGCCGGGAAGTCGACGGCGTATTTGGAGCTGTCGCCGATGTCGTTGATCCCGATCCAGATGGCGACCAGGGACTGCGGCGCGGAGATGTGCCGCGAGAGGACTGGCTGGCCGTAGGTCGTGAATTGGGTGACCTGGTTGACGAGAGAGACCGTGTAGTTGTGGTGGAGGGGGGTGCTGTTAGGGGTGATGGAGGTGTCAGCTCCCCGATAGTCTATATTTCCGTCTACAAGGTGTACGTACTATGCAACGGAGATATCAGACCCCGCGAATGCGAAGTCCCAGAGTTGTCTCTCGCAGTTCAAGGGTGAGATGATTCCATCTTCCACTCCGCAGCCGGTGAGGTATTCAACCCAGTTGGGCCCTCCTTCTGCCGTTGCTGTCTACATTTCATTCAGCACGTTCGGTCAGTGACTGAGGTGAAACTTCCAGGCCATAGCCGCGAGAGAATCGCCAGAGAAACATGGTTTCAAACCTGGTTCTGAACGATCTTATCCGTTAGCAGGGTCTGAGCATCGTATGCGAAGTTCTGCAAATCCCCGATGAAGCTATAGTTTTGGTGTCCGTGAGTTCCCTGCACGTACGTGTAGGAATCACCAAACGCTATTCTGATGCTCAAGTATCAGCCAGAGTTAGTAGACGCATCTGCCCAGGGAAACACCAACAGGTATTTCGTCGAGTCCCAGTCGAACGCCTTCTTCTGAGACGAACCGGAGGGGAATGCTGATACTGTAGGGATGACCGCGAGGGCCAGGCACTGCCAGAGAGCGAGCATAATTATGGCTCGAATGGAAGTCCTTGCACAAGGTTGAAGGCTGTATGTAGGAAGGCCAACAGGGCCTGTCCAACGCCGTCTCTACGGTTTCTTATACACACTGCAGATGCGAGGCGACTCGCGCTTTGGATAATAACCAGCACTCGACCCCGCATATAGATCCTGATTGCGGAGAAACCGCAGCCATGCAGCTGCAGCTAGACGGACAATAATTTTCCACTTGTCAATTCCGAGGTAGTGCGTTCAGTAGACTCTGGCTAAGCCGACCTGCATCTCATACACAAAGCTTGACTTGATTTCCCCCCGCCTAAAGGAGGAACATCGTGCCATCAGGTAAACGTTCGCAGGCCTGTTAGGGTCAGCCCGTCAGACGAACCTGCGACTTCGCTTGCCTACGGAGGCCTTTCCCCCGGCAAACTGGCGTTGCTCCGTAAGTCAGCAGTGGCGACCTCGGATGCAGCAAAGTCCCAGGAGAGAGTCACTTTTTTTTTTTGACGAGCTGATAATTGCTAACCGAGGTCGGCAAAAATGGCGACATCCAGCATACGCCAGCTGCGTCGTTGATGGAGGAAAAGGAGGAGGGCCTTGTCCCCAGATGCTAACCGGTGGTGCCTATCAGTCATGATTTGAGCTTGCGAGAATTTTAGTCCGGTTCGCTCTACTACTGTTTTGCTGTGCTTGTCTTAGAAGGTCCCGGGAGAGAATGTGGAGTATCATTTCTGAGACCTATCTGGTGGTTTCACTGGCTTGAAAGTATGGTCAGTTGTTGAAGCAAGACAGATGTTTCTGTTTCCAACCAACGCACCATGACAGTTGACTCCGGCTGAACAATTTCCATTATGAGAGGGAAAACGTGATCGAATGGAAGGAGGGTCATGTTATCGCAGCGATGGGCGAGAATCCAGGGTGGGAGGCATTATCTTACCGTAAGATAATCGCGTAATTAATCCACCATGACAAATCCTCCGGATTTTCCCAGATGTGGGTCAAGTCAATCCCACCTCATCTGCTGAGTGAACTGAGTAGGACGTCCATATCAACTCAATTGGGTTGAGTGATGATTATTGTTGTTGTTGTTGTTGTTGTCTTGATGGTGGTGGTGCTGATGCTGCTCCTGTTGTTCATGGGCGTGGTCATTCGAGCATCAGGGATGCTCCAGGCAGCATATATCATATAGGAAGGAACTCCCCACACCATTTACCATCCATGGCAAGACTGAAGAGTATATCGAGTAGCCGAGCGATGCAGGTTTCTGCAAGCCAAGGTCCTCCGCGACATGGGTGGGAGGAATGGGGGATGGGATGAAGATTGAAAATGAACCTCGGTGTGCCTCTCAAGTTGGGTAACTACGGAGTACGGAGTACAGTTGTTACTTGTTAGGTATGTTCATGTAAGCGGGACCTCAAAGCTATTGCGGGTACTGTACTTTGTATCTCATATACAGTACAGTATCAGTAAGTATCACTATGTACCGGAAACTGGGTCTCCTTAGTCTCCTTGGTCTCGGTCAAATATCGCTAGGCTTACCACTAGTGGGATCATTTTCCCCATTTACTGCGAATCAGCGGCCTGGAAGCAAATGCAGCTTTAGGCAAATACCCGCTTATCCAGACCAGGTTAGAGGTACGGCGAAGTCACAAACGTCAGGGGAACCGGAGAGGGAAAAGAAAAAAAAAAGAGGATGTGTTAACTTACTTGTGTTTATGGCTCGGGTACGGAGTACTGTTAGGCGGTCCTAAATAGTTCAATATGCGGAAGTCGGGATATCCGCCGATAGTGTCAAATCGACAAAAGAATGTTAATAATAATATGGGAAACAGAGGGCTCCAATTTCAAAGCTCAAGCCTAGGGAAAGCCTAGACACTACAGGACTGGTCCTCCTATGAACTAACGTAATAAGAAATAATGAATGGCATGAACCGACGCTGGTCAGCTAGCCCCCAATAATGCCCATGCCCATGCCCATGCCCATGCCTCGCCAACCCACCGACCGACCGACACGCTTCTCAGCCTGACCTGGTTTTAGAGCAGGCGTAGAATATGCATGGAACATGTAACTTTTCGCCATAGTGGCAAAGCACGCAGGTAGAGAGGCAAAAATTAATGTAAACGGCAGCATAAATAGATTATACTCTGTGCTGATGATAGAAAGCGTCGAGGAATTACAGCATGCTGACGATGGGCCTGCATTGGACCCAATTTGGTAAAGGGGATAGCGACTCCCCATACAGAAGGAGAATAAACCCTCACGAGTCGTTCAGATTCAATAGCCAATAGCTAAATCTTGGCGGGATCTCCGGCCGAAGACAGTAGGTATATCGACCTTGAGACATTCACCATGTCACTGAATGGCTCAAGCGAAATCTCGACAATCGACTCGGGAACAGTGGTCTGTGTCTGTTCATGGTTTGTTGTTGTTTGCTGCTGCTGCTGCTGCTGCTTGCTCAAGTGATGTTACCTTGGGGAAAGTGTCTTGATTTATCCTATTGGTGCTTTTATTCTGGATGAGACTTTTTACCCTTTTTTCTGATTTTTTTTTTCCGCGCAGAATAAAAATATTCTTATTGACTCTGATGCAAAGCCTCCCATCAAGTCCATCATCCATGACTTGTTGAAAGACCGAGCAGTGGCCCACTCAAAATTGTTGTTGCTGTTGGTCTGGTCAAATACAACAATCTGCTTGGCAGTCCGAGAACCGGCCCGGACCCGGAACCAGTCAGTAAATATACCATTACGGACGTACTGTACGTACTGTACTTTGGTTTCTACCATAAGCCCAGAACCAGATGCTCACGGCAGGTTGGAACAAAGTGGGATCGTCTGATTGCGCTGCTGATCGCGCGACATGCTGCTAACTTGATCTCCAACTCAAGCTCATGCCGGTTTCCCCCCCCGTGCCTCACCCGTCAGTGAGACAGCATGAGAGCGGTGGGTGTGGAACCGAGTTTGGGTATGTCTCTGTACAGCGATCTTGAAGCTATGCTGTCTTAAGCTGCTCATAGCGTAGCTACCGACTGCATCGATGTCCAAAGGACTCACCATAGAGGAAGTCGATAATGTTCTCATCGGACGTCTGCGCTGCCTTTCCTGCCACTGTTCTGGGTGGGACATCTGAATTCAAGAGATGGGGCGGCGGTTCCCGAATCGTTTTCCGAACGTCCCTCCGGCGTCAAGACTTGTCAACATAGCGAGTTGCGCCAAAACAACCCTATCCATGGCTCCATTCTTCGCTCCACATCTAGGCTCGGAGACAGAGCCGCAGAGCCGTGTGGAAACCTGGAAGATATCCATTTCCATCCTAGAGTGTCCCCCTTGGTTATGCAGTCGGTATTGTATCGCCTGGGTCATCGACCGTCCACCAAGGTAGAGAAGTCCTCGGCAAGTGGTAGCTGTCCTGTCTTCCATCATGTTCTGAGCAAGCACGGGAAGCTGATGGCAGGCGAGCAATACCCCAACCCAACCTACCGCTCCTGGACCGAGATGCATGATAAGTTATTGACGAGAGTGTACAGTACCTTCATCTTTGATTTGCATACAGGTACGGAATAGTATGTTCAGCTTTCAGTCCAGGTGTATGGTTCTCCACACCCACTAATTAACAGTGCATCTGATAGCAGATCTTCATATGAGGACCTACGCACAGGGACGCAGAGACGAGATGAGGAGAGAAAGCACGAGGTCACTGGCTCTCTTTGTCCAGTTTAACTGATGCTGAAAAGATATCAATTTGACCCTGCCAGGTGCGCTCTGAGGCATGGTCACGTGCTGTACGTGGGCTCATGCCATCGAATGGATCTTTAGCTCCAGTCTGTGCTATCCACCTTCCATTTCTAGATAGTATCGCGCCTCGGAAGTGTCAGGGCGGCCGCCGCTTGATCTGGTGAGACACCGCTGTCAGCCACTAGCCAACTACAGGACTCTAAGTCTGCGCACGTGGAGCACTTCAGATCACGCTTAAGGCTTAGAGCGATGAGGCAGGTAGGTAGCTTGAAGCTCTGTCCGTGGTTATGCTGCCTAATCACGGAGCACAGTAGTCTCTGGAGCTTAAGCCATCGAGCCCGCGAGTCAGGGACGTACCGAAAGCGAGACAAGACTAGCCTCGCTTATCATTGGCATACCGACCAGTATGCGCATCCCATGCAGAATAAGGGAAGTGAATTATGCAGCACCCAAGCAACAGCCATCACAAGCTAGAGGTGAATGAAGCAATCAATGGAGTGGGTAAAAAGAGAGAGAGCGAGGGGAAAAAAAGATGCTGCACTGCAACTCTACATCATCGATGGGCCAGAACTGGCAGATTGCCCCTTTCATGTGCATATGGATGTCCGTCGGAGAACAATAACGATTGATGATTTGAGAGCCGCCCTCAACCACTGAAAGCAATGTGTTTCAGGGTGGGCCTTGAGTCACACTTTATAGAGATTTTATTACGAAGAGCGATACACTCACACGTTGCTCATGATGGCTGCATTGTTCAGACCATTGCCCTATACAGTAGGGCAGTCAAGATGGTTTCAAGCGACATTCTGAGTTATCGTGTCCAAGCAGCCAAAGGTTGAGCTGGACGACATTACTCTGCTCCAAGCCTCACAAACCCATTCATCACTGTAGGGGCGGGAACACTACTGCTAGTCTATGGTCACAGCTTCACCCCCGATGAGGAAGGGTTGCTTGTTCAATTGTTGGTCTGGCTATCAGCGGGTTACCCCAAGGGCGCCTGTGGGTCAGGTATCAGTACTAATCATGGTGGCTAGTCACTCTTAGGAAAGGTCCCGATCGACGGGCAGTCATCGCTTGAGTTTAAGGTAGTCGGCCAGCATCCGAAACAGTAAGATACTTACTAAGGCCTTACATAGCAAGACTTACCGCGTAAGTACAGTACTTACCAGATATGTGGTATCATTACTATGTAATCGAGTTACCCCATGTATACGGAGTAATATCCGGGGATAGGAGGCTTGATTCCGCCCTCAGCATGAGAAATGTATGGACATTCGAAAAAGCGCCTACGGTACTCAGGAGCCCAGCAAGCTAGAGCATTGAACAAGGTAGGTTCTTTTCGTCCGATGTTAAGTCTCGCGCAGCTTCGATAGCCCTCTGTCGTTAGGATAGGGATGGTATCGATTAGAGCTGTGCTTGTCGCTCACTTTTGGATATAATGCAACATCCATTGACTGCTCGTATGGCTGATGTTCCGGATGGAGGAGGGTTTACATTGCTTACGGAGCACTGGAAATTGATAAGTTACAGGGTATATATTGTTACTTGTGATCCACTTCAAACAAAATCATATTGCATGATAATTAGTTGCCTTGTGACCTAGAGGCTTATGGTCTACTCTTCTTGTTTTATGACCGCCTTTGTTCAATTGCTCTTCTAACTTTCTGCGCGTCTGGTTGTTTCTTATTGATAGAAGCCTTGGTTGATGACCATGAGAGGCGAGTCGAGGATGAAAGGGCCACTGCAGCACGTAGAACAGATTATCAAAAGCAACAACAAACACCTTCAAGTTTGGAACGTAGTCTCCTTTTCCCGATGAACCGCGATTATCACTTTCACCGGCAGTCAATTAGTTAGCAGGTCCCGCTTGCGCGGGGTATGTATGAGAAGACCCAGACCAGATGCCAATCACCTCTTGTTTAAGGAGGAGAGGCTTTCCGAGATTGGAGCCTTGCATTTCCTGCGTCCCCTTTTGCTTCTCAGCTTGCGCCTAGCCTTCCTTCCTATCAGATAATCGGTTTTCAGCCCACCCTCAATGTGTCCTGGGCTTTTGATGCTGTAGTGAGGAACGATCTGCTTCTGGATATCAACCAATTGAACCACCTTGACAATAGGCCTAATCGTCAAGAATCGTTCGCTGGGGAGATGGTTGTTCCGGAGTACTCCCGGTAATCTGCTGATGGGCTGAACCATTTGGTCCCCTACCTTATCACACACACTCACACTCTGTCTTTTCGCTGCACCGACATGAAAATCTTTCAAGTCTAGTCCAATAGAAATCCCGATAAAGTTCATGGTGATGGGTACAGCCAAGCCCAGGATACACCCTCCAGACTCCAGAGTCCACTGTGGGTTTCCCAGCTTAGTCCCCCTCCCCAGCCTCCTCCCTGCCGTAAGATGTCTGCCGCTGACATTGTGTGTCCCAAGAGCAAATCAAGGAAACTGGGTATGCACTGTACAGCATTCTACTAAGCTGAGATGTGAACTGAAGATGCGATCGCATGGGCTATAGCATTGATCATTCGTCAAACTGCACAGCCATTAGATGGCTTGGACTACGAGCAGCAGCATTGTCATTTTTCGCGCGTCGACATGTCCCGAGGACTTGCGAGCACACAGCGCAAACCTACTGAGCGAAATACCAAGGAGTGGGTGCGTCGTCTCCGGTACAGGATCTCCCTATTATCCCAATAGGCGATAAGGAGACAAAAGTACGAACCGCCGTCAAGAAAACCGAACACCGATTCCAATTTCCTGCTGGCTTGCCCCCTCTCACGGCTGCCTTCCGGTCGCTTGGATCATACATTTCCCCTTTCCCACTCCCCCATAGAACTTGCAATCCTCGCAATCGACTCGAATCTCTTGGATTGATCCATGCCCGACTCTATCTTGCTTGTTTGGCGCAGGATGAATACGTGATATTCCACTAGTGCGCTCCGTGCCATTGTAGGCTGCTGGTAAGGAGCCTAATTTGTCCGACGGGCAGACTATTCCTAACATCGGTTGGGCCGGTAGCCTCGTGTTCCCCACTGACGCGTTCCTGACTTGCGCGGGCAAGCAGATAACTCATGGATGACTGTTCCAGTTACACTGCACCCGAGGCAAAGGCATATATCATCATATTGGGATGTAATCCTCTTAATTCCGCTTCCCTTTCCCCCTATTTATGCCTGCCACAAGCGATGTATGAGTTCAGCGCGGTGGATGTTGGTCTACGAACAGAGAAAGATAACAATGGCCTTTGCGAGAGCAACGACAGAGAATTGTCCAATTGACAAGCGACAGGAGGTGGTTACTATCAGAAAACGGGGGCCCACCAAACGACGTGCTTCCCATTGGCACTGCTACGGCCATACTTCGGTTGGAGGAGACCAGACCCCCCCTGAAGTCGGCCGTACCGCAAGTCCGCGACAGCTGACCGGCACAACCTTTGCATTCATCATCTGGACAATGATAAAAATAATGATGGGGGTTGGGTGTTGGTAACGGGTCAAGTATCATTTCCACTTTTCCTCCCCGTTTCTCCCCCTCCATATCTGGTCTCTAACCCAAGTTTTGCTTATGTCCGAGGAGCCATCGCCGGCATCACCCGCCGCCGTCTTTGCACCGTTTCTGGACTGTCAATCAAGTGCTATTATTGTTAGCATTAAGAGTACCACTACCATTATTTACTCCGTACGATCAATTGCAATCTTTTTTTTTTTTTTTTCTTGATGATTTAATTCATTTTAATAATATCTTTGCGTGATGATTAGTTACCTCGTGCCCCTCAATCTTGTCGCCTTGCCCCTCTACCATCGCCTGGATCTTTCTTGTCTCTAGCTGAAGCTCGTTAGATGCAGTAACATTATTGTCGAGCCTCTCCTCTCCCTCTCTGCTACGGACCCTGCACGCGGTACTCGCTTCGTCCCCCCTCCTCCGCCGGGCTGCACTACTACACCCACTCTTCCCCTAGTCGTCGAGGCTTTTACCTAGACCGTTCAAGCCATTCCTCGGGCACGCCATTCTTAGCTCCATCTTCGCCTGTCCACTAAATAGATTACCTACCCACGCAGCCCGGACGTTGACCAACGATCTTGGGTGAGTATCCACGGGCGCAGAGCACGCTAGGTTCACGACAGCCTCCCTGCGGCCAGGACTCGACACGCGCACCGTCCGTCCCGAATCGCGGGTAGACTATCCAAGCTCTAAAACCCCTATTAACATTAATCCTCGACTAGACTACGTACCCTAAGTTTATTTTGAACCTCATATCTACAATCTATGTATCGTTGGATAATGCTCCACGCCACAACAGACTTATCGGTGAGGTTGATAGAACAGAGGAAGAGATCACAGACCAGAGAAGAATGCGACAAGAAAAAAAAAAAGAAAAACGAGAAATGAGAACCGACAAAAAAGAAATTGTCGTCGACTTCTCCTGTTCCTTGATTTCGCCACAAGTTTCGGCGGAGTCTGCCGCTGCCGCTTAAGAGAGAAAGGACGGGAAAATTGACAGACAGAGAAGTGGTAAGTTAGGGACAAAAGAGCAGGGAAAGGTAAAGAAGCAGAAGGCACATTCAGACAAGGAAAGCTTAGCCGGGGTTACGAGGAGTGACCATCAGCTATCCTATCTATCTACCTACCACCACCACCACCACCACCATCCTCCTCCGGAATATCATCGACGAGCAATTGAGGGGAAGAGGGGGGGGGGCCAAAGAGAGGAGTCGGTAGGCCATACAAAAGAGAGTGAGAGAGGGGTAAAAAAAAAAAGACAAAAATGAAAAAGAAATGAACGAACAGCACCCATATCCATCCAACAGAGTAACCATTTGAAAGAGAAATTATTACAAGCAATTTGGTTAACCACCAGTGACTCTTTTTGGGGTCCTGATAAAAATCCACGAAAAGGAAAAGGAGTGGGTCGGACTACTTTACTGGCAACGGACCCGTCACCACAAAGCGGCAGCACTCCGCTCCTGGAGCAAGACAAAGGACAAATAAGAGTTAATCCTCCGGGCGGCCCCTCCAATGTGAGTGACGATGATATTACCATACAAGTACCGGTACCCTTACTAGTGGTATTTCGCTTACATACCCGCTACCACTAGTAATTACCTTAGTTTACTCTCTCTCTCTTTCTCTCCTCCTCTCTCTCTCTCTCTCCCGTCGACTATGATTCCCTTTCTAAAGTTTCTCTCCCTATTCATCTTTTATTTTATTTTATATTTTATTTGTTTTTTCCCAACGTCTGTTCTTTCCAGGCTAATTCCCCCAATCCCACCCCTTTCCCCTTTTGAAAAACCTTTGCCTCCAACTCCGTTTCATTACTAAAGAGCGTAAAAAGATTACGGGCCCACGCGCTCCACCATACCCTCGGATCCCACGAGGTGTTTTGCTCTCAGGCGGTTTTCCTCCTGCCGAATAACCTCTTGCTTCGTCCTCTCCGAAGCCTTTTAGGCCGCTTCTGCCCAGGTTTCTCTTTTCCGGGTCGAGTCGAACCATTTCCCACACCCCTCCTCCCACTTAGTTACTTTCTCTCTGCCCCCCCTTCCCCTCCTCAAGCCCACCCCCCTTCTCCCCTCTTCTCTATCCGTCTTGATTTTAGGGTGACTTGTGCGACTGGCGTTGCCACCAAGCTAGATCGAGACATCGGCTCTTGCGCTATCACGCATTTGCGCTGGTGGAAATTTATTTGATCGTGTCTCCATTCTCGTTCGTCCTGGCCGAACAGACTATTTTGGCCCTGACCTGGCTGTTTTCTAAACCCTCTATATTGCCCTCTCCCCAAAGCTTGCCCGAGCGCAGACAGGACCGTCCCTTTCAATCCTCCCGCCGGTTCCTCGTGCTGTTGTGCTTACCGCCACCTGCAAGGCCATTCTCCGTCACCCTAACACGGCGACTAAGGCAATTAAGCATCACGATCCAGCAGTACCGTCAACTTCACTAAAGACAACAATACTTTTCTCTCTCTCTCCTACCTTTCCACCTTTCTATCTTTATCCGAACTCGATTATTATTTTCCTTTTTTCTTTTTCTCTCTTCCCTTGAATCACAACTCACCCCCTGCCCGTATCAAAATTTCCTCCTTTTATCTCAGCCTTTCGGGAGTGTGCAATTATACGCGACCATTATTACGCGTCGATCCTTTTCCAACCGATTCTCTACAATTGTTTCGATCCCGTTTGATCACGACACAGCCGGTTGAATTGTTACAATTCAGTCAACTCCTCCCAGAGTCATTTAATAGTACGTTCCAACATATTGCCGACCTTCAGTGGAAGGGAGAAAGAAATCCCCAGAAAAACAAAAAAAAAAGACGAAGACGAAGACGAAAAAGAGCAGGAACAGAAAGAGAAAGAGAAGCCGTCATTGCGCAAGATCTGGTCTGGTCGTCAAGATCCTCTCGGGACCAGTCTGGCACACACCCTCTCTCTCTCCTCTCCTCCCCTGTCCCTCAATTTATTACCTCTCGGCCTATCTTTCTCTTTCTTACCATTTCTTTCCCTTGTCTCTCCTCTCGATTTCTGTCCAATCCTGTTTTGTTTGCAAGCCACAAAGCTCATTGTGTCCATCTCGACGCGTCTTTACAGGCACGCGAGGCTTTTCTTCTCTTTTTTAGTTCGGAGGAATTGTTCAGGGATATCTTGGTCCGGTAGTTGCGACCAAATTTGTATTATATGGACAACAGACCTGCTTCGGAGTACGCGCAGTCAGGTTCGCACTTTCCATATCCACTGTCTGCCGCGACTCATCATTCTGAACCCCCCGCTGCAGACCAGGCTTCTGCTGCTGCCGCTGCTCAATACACTCCCCAACCGGAGGTTCGCCCGACTCCCCAGTACACGCCTCAACCCGAGGTCCGCCCCGCCGCCAACATCTCTTCATCCAACACACCTCAGTCGGACTACGGTCTGAACCAACCCGCCGCCGCGCGCTCACCTGCCTATCCCGAATACCTCGCCCGCCCACCTCAGTACCATCACGCCCCCAACACCCAGGCCGGTGGTGCGGCAGGTATGGCTCAAGCAACAAGTCCGTCCATGACCACCCTCAATAATGGGCAACACCATGACCCACGCAATCATCACACGAACGTGAAGTCTGACGCAGACGTTCCTATAGATCCCTCAATCGCGGCCTCCAGCCCCACCTATCCTCCTCCTTACTCGCCTTATCAGCCGCAGGGCCATGAAATGGCTCAATACCAGGGTCACCCCCCTCCCCCCCCTCAGATGTATACGCGTCCGGAATGGTCGCATGGTTATGGACACAATCAACACGGTCTCCCTGGGCCATATAACGCTCCTGCCACAACGGTTGGTCCCGCCTCCCCTGCTGCGACCGCAGGGCCGCGCCCTGGCCAGGTATGTTTTCGATGATTTTGGCGTCTGTTTCCTGAGGCCTTGCGCACTTTTGCGTGGAACGGTTGTCTTGGATGCCTCCCGCGTTATCAGGGTTTGCGGCGAAAAAGAGAACTATCCGGCCTTTGGGGGTGTGGGAAGCGGGCGCGCTTTTTCATCTGTTTTCATGACGTTTTTGATCAGAAGCTCATTCGGTTGCTTTTCTCTCTCTTCTAGGTATACTCATTCGTTCCCATTCCCGGCGCGCAACAACACAAGCGCCCTCGCCGGCGATATGAGGAGATTGAGCGTATGTACAAGTGCGGTTGGAACGGATGTGAGAAGGCCTACGGTACTCTCAATCACTTGAATGCACATGTGACGATGCAATCGCATGGTGCGAAGCGTACACCTGAGGGTGAGTTGGTGTCTCTTTGTGTCTTTTTTGTTCTCTGCGCGCTTTCGCAGTCTCGGGGAGAGTCGCAGAGGCGTTGTTTTGGTTGGTCGCAAATAGCTCGATTGGGCTAGTGCGGGTGGCACGCGCTAGTCGTGTTACACTACGTTAGCGCCGCGGATCGCAGTAGCGTGACAAGCCGGCGCGGAGGTTAAGCGTGTTTAGCCTCTCTGCCCACTGCATGTTTCTATGCTTTCTTTCCCCTTGCGGTGGTTCCCGCTGAGACTTGCTTCCCCCCCCCCCCAAACCCGGCTTCATCCACATGTCTTATTGCTCGGCTACGCTTTGCTGACATTTACACCCTCCAAACAGAATTTAAAGAAATTCGCAAGGAATGGAAAGCTCGGAAGAAGGAGGAAGAGGCTCAGCGCAAGGCCGCTGAGGAGCGCGAGCGTGCCGCCGCCCAAGCTGCCCAGTCCAACCCAGTGGATGCGCCCAACCCTGCGGATCCCGCCCAAGGTGGCCAACCGCCAGCGTACCCCGGCGGTGTTCGACCTCAACTCCCTCCGATCGGATACCAACCTGCTGATGGCCAGGTGCCCGGGCAGTACGGAGCGGCTGCTGGTGGCATGGTTTACCAGGGTAATGGGCAGATGGCCTACCCTCCCAATTACCCTCACTCCCCCTATGGGCAAGCGGGCCAAGTGTACCAGCCACGTAAGTAGTCATGTCCATCGTTATGTTTTGCATTATCAGGACCGGAGGTCATGAGGAGTCATGAGAGACCGCAACAGAAAAAAAAAACACAACATCATCATCATGATCAAAAAAGAGATTTACGACCATCATACCCGAATGACTCGGTGACTCTTGACTCTCCGAGGGAAAAAAAAACCGCCGCAGGAGGAGGTCTGTGGGTCTTTTGCTCTACAAGGTCTGTAGCTGATCGATGATGGCTTCACAGAAACCCAATCGACCAGCTACCCGCAATAGATTTTCAACTTCCCATACTTGACTCAGGTTGCATATTCTAATTCAATATCTCCTAATCCCGTATCGCCATCCCGGATCTAATCCTTCTTTAAGTTCTTTCGCACATGATACCATTTCCAGGCCTTGATTGCTCCAGTCAAACAAGAGTGGCCCTTCGACTTACGTTTCTGTTCCAGTTATGTTGTTTTGACTTAGATCGCATGAGAAACCAAAAAAGGAGATTGTCTAAACGAGGGGTTCGTTCTCTCATGTTCCCTGAGCGAATGCCGGTTGTGGGAATGTGGCTTGGGATATCTGGCGGGGCTTTCTGCACTATCTGAGCTCTATATTTCTTCTTATTTCTACCCCCCTGTGAATTATGCGCCTCATTGTCTCTATACGGCTTTCTCCTTTCATGTTGTATGTGGCTTATTGCTGTGATGCCCGAATCTTCAGCTTTTTTGATCCTGCATTTTCTGTGTCCATTTCGCTTCGACCAGCCTTTATGTTACCCTGGGTGTTGGTCCCCGATTCTGTGCAAAATTCATATCCGTACCCTTTTCCCAGTTGGTCATGACCTAATGGTTGAAGTCTTGCAGCCAGTTATTGAGTTTGCGACATCTGGCTTCATATCTTCTCAATGAACCACTGATGCATTGAACCACTGATTCTGATGAATTCAGTAGGACCTGGTATCAATGACACCTACTTGCTCCATATGCCTATTGATAGTGGCGGCTTCATTACAACCTTTTGGTTATATTGGTCACATACGTGGGATAGCGAGCGATGCTCCAAGAAAGACTAGGCGAGATATCAGGAATCATTAATTCTGCATGTATTTGATAGTTCCTGCATTAGTGGGGTCTAAGTTGGCGCTATGAAGCAGGCAACGTGTGACTACAGTCTGGTGCCGTAGGGCGAGTCACTAGTCCTGTCGTACAGGATCAGGAGAGATGTGAGCTACTGTAGGTCCCAGGCTGACTTGTTCGATCAGAAAGTATAGGATCTACTGTCCGCATGGTTCGGAATTTAAGTTAAACTGGGGGTATTTGGAAAAAAGGCGAATGGGGGGTGAAGGATTTGGGCGCGGTCTTGCCTTGATGCGGGCCGGGTTGTTTAGTTCCAGAGGGGCGCTGAAACAACCTTTTATTTAGTTACATACGTAGTCTTGGGGGGAGAGGGGGGGGGAGGGGGTAAGCCTGGAAGATTAGCTAAGGAAGGGTTCCTGGACGAGATCCGAATCGAAGGGTTGTGTTTTTTTGGTCGACTAGTCAGCGGCAGTCTCCGAGCATGGGAAATGGGCAGTGGGAAGAACTTAACTTAAGCCTTACTAGTGCACCCTCGCTCAGTACTAGTGAGTACCTGAACCCTCCGTTCCAAGTTACTAGATTCTTACCTACTTAGTACACGGCCCTTCCCTCCCTCCGGCCTCCCCCTCCTCCCCTCCCCGGAGCGGCGCGCGGAAAAGGAATCGGGAGGGGGGGTGGAAATGTCTAAGCGCCAGAGGGCCCCAGCGCCTATCGGGCGGAAACTACTGCCTGAGGTTTACGGAGTAGGTTAGTACGTAGCATAGGTACTAAATTTTGACCCTAACAGGAAAAGGCTATCTCTAAAAAGCCTTCTGAAACCTCCTAAACAGTGAGACTAATGCAGATTCAGTAACGCTAGAGCATTTTTCCTATCAGGACTAACCCGCTGTGGTACTGCAACGGGCTGCTGCTGGCACCCGCTGCGGCGCGGTCTAGCGACTACGACTAGGTAGGAAATGGCTCCATACTAGCTTTGTTGCCTCAGGCATAAAAAGCCAGACCTCTCGGCAGCGGAGTAACATACCCCTTTGGGAGTTACTATCAGTCTAACCTCCTCTGGACTAGCTGGGCTCAAATGAATCCGAGATTCAACACCGCGGAGTTTGCGGTCCAGATACCGGAGCTTGTTGCTGCACTCAACGCTCTTTCTTTTCTGTCTTGTTGTACTTATGAAATTGCTTGAGGTCGAAAAGTTTGTACTGTCTTCAGGAGTTGTCTGTCTTGAATAGACCGAACGCCCTTTTCTTGTCTCTTTTGTTGTTCGGGTGAAAAAAAAAAAAGAAAGCAATAGATATCTCCCAACTTTCGCCTCATCTCCGCAATTTTTTTTTTCGCGCTGCTTCTCCGGCCTTCACCCCACCACTCCGCCTCCCATTAGGCACGGAGTCTTCTGGGATAATTGCCACTGTCACTGCTGGGCTAATCCGAAGTCGACTTTACTCCATAACGTCTGATTTCAACGTTCCAAGGATCAGACGAAAATCCCAATTAACCCTCCCTCCCGAGCCTACCTCAATGCCGGTGGATTGAAAATCACAACCTTTAAACACCCCACCGATGCGCTTTCTCCAAGCGAATTCTGCTACTAGACGAAGCATGGCGATGAGACTTCCACTCAGCGCGCAATGCGCTCGAGCTGCTGCCCGGAATAGCAAAGCCACCACCATCACCATCGTCGGCAGCAACCACGCCTACACCACCCTCTCCGCAGCCACCATGAGCACCAGCAACACCGAATGCCTTCGGCGCGCCCTCCTTCCCACCTCGCAACAGCAGAAGTCGCCGCAAAGCAACACATCGACCACCGTGAGCTGGAGCCGGGCCGCCTCCTCCGATGCAGTGGTCCGGAAATACTGGAATGGCTTCCTGGAGCTCCAACGGAAGCCGAACCAGCCCGCTGCTGTCTCCGCGAAGAACAAGGAGCTCCAGGAGTTGCTGCTCAAGGTCGCGGAGGTCGGTACGTCGCCCCGGCTCCGGATGCAGGAGGCCTCGCTGCTGGGCGACAGACATACGAAGAAACAGGTCGAGATGGAGTTGAAGTGGCTGCCGGACCCGAAGCGGCTGGCCGAGCGGGTAGGTCGCCTGCTGCAGGCGCGGGAGATCATCATGGCGGCGGCGCTGGTGCGCGCGGCGCAGAAGGAAGGGCGGGAGTGCATGGTCGCCTGGAATCATATCTTTGAGTATTGCATGAAACAGGGTGCGACCATGGCGGCGTATAAGTTCTATACGGATGTAAGTTGTACTTTTCTATTTCCCTCTATTCTACGATATCTTGCGACGGTTCGAATCTTGCGGATCTTGGTTTGAAGGTGGGCTGTCGCTGATTGCTACATTTTTGCGCAGATGAAAAAACGTGGACGCAGACCGAACTCCCACACCTATACGATCATGATGAATGGGTTCAGTATCTATAATCCGCAGGAGAAAGCGAAGAATGTGGACGCCGCGATGCGTGTATATCGGTCTATTGAGGAGAACCCGGACGTGGAGCGGGATATCATCCACAGCAATGCGATGCTGAAGGTCTGCTGGCTCCAGGAAGACATGGATACCTTGTGGCGGGTTGCCGGAGATCTCCCCGAGGAAGGGCCCGGGTCGCCCAACGCTCACACCTACACGATCATTCTGCGCGCTATTCAGAGTCGCCTGGAGCGTAGCACGCAGGATATTCCCTCCAAACACGTCCGCCCACACTGCGAGAAGAGAAAGGCGGCCATCACTGAGGGTAAGCGGGTGTGGGCTGATGTCGTTTATCGCTGGAAGAAAGGTCAGCTTCAGCTCGATAACCACCTGGTCCACTCGATGGCCGAGCTGCTCTTGAATGCGTTCAGCGACTATAATTGCTGGGAGGTGCTGGCTTTGTACAACCAGACGGCGGGTCTGCCCATTTTCGCCAACAAGCCCTCGCCGGATAAGGAATACGAAGATAAGTGGGCAAACAAACGGCACGGCAAGCGTCGTGACGGGCCGAATGCCGACTATTTGCCCTTTGTGAACTATAACAACGAGCCGATCGAAACCGAGGCTACCAAGGAATCGGAGTCGGAAATCGTGGAGGAGCAGGAGCAGGAGCAGGAGCAGGAGCAGGAGCAGGAGAATTTCGATCACTTGTTCGATCCTGTACACGATGGCACTGGCTCTTTAGCTCCAGCCCTGATTACCCTCGGTAACCGAGAGATTGACGTGCTGCTGGAGGCCTGCTTGACCATGGTGCAAGGAATGCGACCTGGCAAACAGTATTGGGAGTACCTCACGCGCGAGGGCCACGCGGATCTGATCAAGCCCGATGCGGCTGCGATTCACCAATACCTGCGTCTTCTCCGCTACAGCCGATCGACCCGGGAAGCCATCGCGGTGATCCGCGACCAGATGGTGCCCGCTGGGATCACCGACCCCAAAACATTCCACATTGCGATGAGTGTCTGCCGGCGCGACACCCGCAACGGAAACGTCTTGCAACTCGCCGACGAGATGCTCGATCTCATGGGGCGTGCGCTCGTCCTTCCAGAGCCGCGTGCTCTGGTGGGCTACCTCGATCTCGTCCAGTCCCTGAAGGAGAATCCTCAGCTGCTGCTGTCTTTGCTTGGCTTGGAGGGTGCCTGGAAGGCTCGAGCGAACAACTTCCAGGACAAGGGCCGGAGCTTGTACGTGGGGTTACAGCTGCACGCCGTCAAGAAACTCTTCCCCCATCTCATGAAATTGGAGGAAGCCACGTTACCGTACCTCCCGAAGACGGAGGAATATGCCACTGTGGACATCCCTCCGCCTCACAACCGCGACTCGACGTTCGGGCTGTACGGCTCGAAAATCGCACAGGCGATGAACGAAACCGGCAGAGTGATCGACGAGCTGGTGCAACGGCACAGAAACAAGAACTTTTTGAGTAAAGAACTACTGGCGGATCTGCAGGAGAAGCGAGCCATGCTCAAGAAATACTCCCATGCCCGTATCAACAAGCATATTCGTGATATTCGCGTGGATGCGACTGCCAGCCAGACCGAGGCGTTTGACCAGCAGCTGGAGAAGCATCAGGGACAACAGCAGGCGAAGAAGCAGGAGCAAAAGCAGGAGAAGAAGCAGCAGGAGAAGAAGCAGAAGAAGCAGGAGGAGCAGCAGGAGGAAGTGGAGAAAAAGGCCGAGGTAGCCGATACGAAGGAGGAATAGTCTCGGCACTGTATAGAACCATCATCACCTCTCCCGACATGTACTTGTGTCATCTATAGCATTTTCAGGGCGTTGGTATATAGGTCTTGGTTTGTTTGTACAACAATTGCATGCTATCTTCTCTTCTGTATAGATCATCGGTGCCATACAGGAGGCAGTTCGTCGGTGCTCATAGGAGTACTAGAGTCTATTCTTGCACACCACAACGATCAGTCTTGTCCATCGGAGAACTATTGCCTTGAAACATTGCATTGAATCGATTGATACGGGGTAGATAATCGATAGATTGATAGATAGCGAGCCCACCGGGAGGGCTTCCGCCTGCCGCTTTCAGCCCGTGGTGTGCGTACGTAATGTCATGGATGCCACTCTAGCCTCTCCTCCGTCACAACAACCGGCCCGAAGAGCAACAATTCCATTCCCATTCACTCAATCCGAGGATACTCTGTCCTGCTCGCCTTCTCTTGTCTCTCTGGGTACAGCCGGACTGTCCAGGTGATACTCCGGTAACTTTGCGAACGTGCAGTGATTGCTGTGAATCCTACTCTTTTCTCTCTATTGTCCTCGGATTCGGTTCCTGAGCTCCTCTCGGACCCAGGACAGCATAACGAGCCCCCGTTGTTTGTAGCTTACGATATACCACCACCCCCTACTTTGCCTGCCATGACCAGCGCACAACCCCTCTACTCCCACGGGGATCTCCACGACGATGAATCCATTCTGGACGATGACATGATCGAGTCTGACGAGGGTGAGTTTTGCTTTCCCCGTCTCCCTTACACGGTGGTCCGGGATTGTAGTAGCTACGCTACCAAGGGCATTCAACAGCTAACTCTTAGCGCGCGCGCGGTTTTCCCGCGCATCGCGCATTTTCTTAATCTCTAGCAATCGAAGCCGATGATCCCCTCCATGACACTACAGACCGGACCCCTCTCCGCGGCAACATCCAAGGCGAAGCATCCAGCAGCTCACGCGGAGGCGGCAGCGGCAGCAACTTCGCGGGGAACTACCTCACCTCGTCGATCCCCGGCGAGGACCGTCGCGCGACCCAGAGTACCATTGACGAGACCGTGTGGGAGACACTCTCGCGGGACCTGCGGGCCGTGTGGGAGAAGATGCGGCAGGTGCTGTGGCCCAAGTACTTGATCGGCGGCATGTTGCAGCGGGGTGGCGGCGGGTTGGCGGCGGCGGAACGGGGTGAAGCCAGTGGATTCGGCGGCGGCGTTCGCAATCTGGTGGGTAGATGGCCGGATGCTGATGTTGTGCTGCAGGGGGGCATGAGTGAGGGGTTGCGGGATTGGGATCTTTGGTATGTTTTTTCTTGTGGTTATCTCCATTGCGCTACGGGGAAGTTTGGGGGGGGTTCTAACTACGATACGGATTTTGCTTACTCTGATGTTGTGCTAGGGGTCCGTTGATTTTCTGCCTGCTGCTGAGTATGTTTCTGTCGATGCGCGCTAAGGGAGAACAATCGTCTTTGGTGTTCTCGGGGGTGTTCTCGATTGTGTGGATTGGTGAGGCGGTGGTGACGTTGCAGATCAAGTTGCTGGGGGGGAATATGTGGGTTTTGTTCCTTCTGGTTCGTGGTTCGTGGTTATCATGTGCTAATGGGGCGAATTCGTGCATCTAGCTCCTTCTTCCAGTCGGTCTGTATCATCGGATACACATTGTTCCCGTTGGTCATCGCCTCTCTGCTCAGCGCGCTGGGTCTGCCGACTATTGCGCGCATACCGGTCTACTTGGTGCTGGTGGCGTGGTCGTTGGCGGCGGGCGTGAGTATCCTAGGCGGATCGGGAGTGGTGCGCAACCGAGTCGGCATTGCAGTCTATCCATTGTTTGTGTTCTATGTGGCGATTGGATGTCTATGCTTCATCAGTTGAGAGGGCGCATGCGGACTTCAATCTGGGTGAGGTGGTGGGAGTGTGGTGCTGAGCGAGGAACTATAGCAAGGCATAGAGGAAGAGGGAGGTGTGGATGTCGGGGGTTAATCGTTTCCAGTTGAGGCCGACCATTGAACGGACCGTTTGTGTTGTTCCATAGTAGCGTTTTCTATCTGAAAATTGTTTGCAGCCAATCCGTCTTTTTGCGAAAGGGGAATTGATCATAAGAGTCATGATAGTAGTAGTGTAACTCTTCGGCGGAGGGGAAGCGAGCGGTGACGGGAGGGAGCTGGACGGAGGGAGCAGACGAGGCCGGGACGAGACCGGGGAGGGCGCCAACACAACAACAGCCCGGGCCATCTCATCTTCCAACCTGTCGTCCTACTCTGCCTCCAAACAACTCACCCGCTCGCACCTCGCTTGCTTGCTTGATCGCCCTCAACACCGCTGGCTGTCTCTCTCTTTTTCTCTTTCTTTCCATACACTCCACCCTCGGGTGTTCGTTTCAGTCTCAACTGAGCTCAGCTACCATCATTGCCGGTAGCTCCTCAGCCCCGTCTCTCTTCAACCTCTCTCTATCTATCTACGGAACGAGCAGCTTTCGGGCGATCGTGAGCCGGCTCTGACGTCGAACCCACCCTCAATAGCCTCCGCGCAAATCTAGAAAATCCCCTGGACACCCTGTCTACGAGTTTTCGATCTTTAGGTAAGTCGTTTATGGCTTGCACCCCCTCCCCCCGCTTATGGCGAGCGACGATCACATCAGGAGTTTCCCCTCCATTCCTTCTACCTACACCCGCAACCCAGAAATGCTGCGGGCAGAGGAGCGCCAGTCTCTTTCCCGCAAACAGACACCAGATAAGCCTCGGCCCTTCTCCTAGCCGATCGAATTTTGGTCTGGCTGGCTGGCCTCGGCGTGCTTCAGTTTGTTTTTTTCATTTTTTTTTTCGCTTTGCTGGAAGCTAACGTCGATTTTGTCTTGTATCAAGACAGTACAGAATCTGCGTTTGTTTACGGTCCGGTTTCTGTCCACCACGTCACCTCCCGCCAATCGTCCTATTCACACACACACGCTGAGGCTGTGTCAACTCCCCCCCGCGCGCTTGCAACAATTCTTTTCCAAAGTTTCTACCTCGATCGAAGATGGCGCCGGAGCAGCAGCATGCTGGTGGGACACAAGGTAAAAACCCCAAGCATATTCGACCTTGGTTTCCGTAATGTGTGTTCATACTGACAAGAGGTTTTTCTTTTTTGGCGGCGTAGTAGAGGAAGCTCCCCCGGCCTCGATAACCGCTCAGGGTAGGTTATAGCTGGTCATAGTGGTAATACCCATCCGCGAAACGACCACTAATTCTCCTCTTCACAGTCGCGGACGACTCCCAAGCATCGGATAACGACGGCGGAGAGCGCCCCGTTCGCAACAAGCTCAAGGAGACGTCCATCACCTCGGTATCCAAGGCCGACGACGACGCCGGCCCGCAGGAGGGGGAGACCAGTCGAGCTAGCAGCCGAGGCCGGAAACGGTCTTTCGATGAGGATCAACCCGAGAAGATGGATGAGGACTCGGGTCATCGACGGAAGAGATCGCGAGACTCGAATACAGAGGAGGATGAGGAGAGCAATGTCGCCGCCGTCGACGCTCCGTCGCAGTCGACGGAGGACCTCTCACGCAAGATTCTGAGTCCGAAGAAGAAGCGGAGTCGCGACCAGCTAGATAAGGACGAGGCCAAGCCGGCGGAAACCACGGAACCCGTCGATCAATCCACTACTACTGAAAAGGAGGTTGCGACGGAGAAGTCGGCTGCAGAGGGAGAACCTGAGAAGAAAAGACATCGGGACGATTCGCAGGAGCGGGAGAAAGTACGTGTTTCATGAAAGGCTGCTTTTATACATCCACTAATCCGCCTGCAGGCCTCAATCCCTAGTGGTTTTGCCAACACTTCGGCCGTGTCACCTTTCGGGGTCTTGGGTGCAAGCAAGCAAGAGTCCTCAGACCCTAGCGCAGTCAAATCATCTTCGGCCTTTGCGGCGTCTAGCATGGCGGCGTTCGCCAAGTCGGAACAATCTCCTTTCGGCACCTTGGGTGGTGCGACTTCCTCCTCTATCTTCAAATCGTCGACGCCTTCAGACTCCAGCAAGCCCGCTGCTACTGGGTTTGCAGCTGCAGCCGGTGCGTCCGGCTTCGCGTCCCTGGGATCTGGATTCGCGGGATTCAGTGGCGGCTTTGGATCGGCAGCACCTGCTAAGAGTGCGCTCACGAGTTTCGCTTCTCCGGCGGTGCCCAGTGTGCTAGGCAGCTCGAAGCCTAGCGCGTTTGGGCAGCCTGAAGAAGAGGAGGCGAAGGAGGGAGAAGCAGAGGAGGCCGATGCCGGTCCGGGCGAGTTCGAGCAGGACAAGACGGACGAGCGGTTCTTCGAGCGACCCAGTAAGTTCAATCCATGGAGTGGGAGGTCCGGGAATTAACGTTTGTCTAGTCGAAACCGGCGAGGAGAATGAGAAGACGTACTTCTCGTGCAAAGCGAAACTGTTCCAATTCAGCAATAAGGAGTGGAAGGAGCGCGGCATCGGCACATTCAAGGTCAACGTACGGCTGACGGACGGGGTGGAAGACAAGAAAGCGGCCCGGATGATCATGCGTGCCGACGGCGTGTTGCGGGTGATGCTGAACACGCCCATCTTCAAGGGGATGACGGTCGGCGATGCTAAGGGCCAGGCGCCCAAGTCGAAGCAGATCCATCTTGCCAGTTTGGAGGAGGGCCGATCGGTTCCGCTTCTATTGCGGGTGGGTATCCTTCCTAAGAATTGATTAAGGGCACGTGCTAATGGAGTGTGTAGACGGGAAGCGAGGAATTGGCTAATGAGCTGTACAATGTGGTGAAGGACTTGCAATCGCATCAGTGAGAGTCATTCGACCCGCGATTGAAGTGGATGTGGAAATCTCGTCGGCATTCTGGAGAGGGGAGCATTGGATTTATACTACTGGCTGGATCTATACATGCTTTGGGATGGGGGAGGATTGTTGATCGCTTGACACACATGCATATCTGGAGGGTAAACGGACCCTGACTGTGTGGGTAGGAGTTAAGACTTTGAATACTGTGAATAATGCCATTTCTTATGTTCTGTGACTGTTATCAATACCATGGCGGAAGCCAATCAGGCCATTGCACGAAATTCACTACTAGGAGGGAGCTAATGCTTGGTAGTGCGGATTGTTAACGACAACCAACCTGGAACCCTGTTTTTCTTTTTTTTTTGTCTTCCTGCTTTCTTTTGTACTTTGAATGGGGTGCTTGCTTCGAAAGACTTCAAGATGCACCGTCGGGATGTCTTTGGGCAGGAGCATTTAATCCTCCATCACCACCACGCCAATGGCCACGGCGATCACCATGAACATGAACATGAACATGAACATCATCTCCACCTCCAACTCACCCACGTCACCGGCGCAATCCCCTTCCTCAACCCGACGCACGCCGCGTACCGAGCCACCACCTCTTCATCTTCATCTTCATCCTCATCTTCATCCGCAACCAGCCCAACCCACCCCCAAATCCACCGCCTCTGGCGCGCCCGCGACACGCGCAAAGGCCGCCACGCCCTCCGCATCACCACCAGTGCCCCTACCCCGAGCCATAGCCCCAAGCCCCGACACCACCTTCCCGGGCTAACACCAGCAAACCCCACCACGCACCCGCGCATCATCCTCCGCACCCTCAAAGCAATGCTCACCACGTGCCCCTACTGGGACCTCTCGTACCTCGTCGCCGTCACCTTCACGCTCGGCTCCGCTATCTGGATCGTCAACGCGTTCTTCGTGTGGTTGCCGCTGCAGGATCCCGGCTCGGCATTTCCGGGGGAGGAGGGCGTCGGCGGTGGGTGGACGGCGTTCGTGGGGGCCGTCGTGTTTGAGGTCGGGAGTTGGGGGTTGGTGGTTGAGGCTTTGGTTTCGGGGACGGGGACGGGGACGGGGACGGGGACGGGGACGGGGACGGGGACGGGGACGGGGACGGGGACGGGTCGTCCTGCGGATCAGGACAGTGGGAATATGGGGT